CCTATAGTATTGAGCTGTTGTTCATTATTCTTTAAAATCAAATGATGAGAAATTAAATGTTCTAAAGCATTTTTTACATAACATTGTTCAGAAACAATCTGGAGTTTATGATGACATGCTTCGCAATTTCCATCCCACATTACAAATGGATGATTCTTAATTATATGCTTGGAAAAATCAATCAAAACCACAGTTGAAAATTGATTTTCAAGGCAATTTGATACAGAGCATTTGAATAATAACATTGAATTTATCAATTCACAACTTAACCCAGCCAAGACACATTTTTTAGATGTCCCTTTTATTGTGTAATCAGTATATTCGATCACATGCTGGTCAGCACTGATTCTTGATTCTTTTGTAGGGGCTAATAAAAAAAAAATCAGATTTTAGTAAATATCAATAGTTTTCAAATGTACACTTACATTGATTAGGTTGTTCTGGTAAAAAGTGAAGCAAATTAGACTCTGGCAGAATTTTCTCATTAACTAATACTGGAGGATTCTTATGAATAACTGATTTAGGAAGATTTTCATCAATATTTGACTCTGAAGGATCTTTATTAATAGTTAATTCTGGTAAGTTTGTATTAATAGTTATATCTGTCAAATTTTCATTAATATTTGATTCTGGAAGATTTCCAGCAACAGATAAATCAGGTGAGTTTGTATCAATTGTTAAATTTGGTGGATTTTCACAAAGAGAAAACTCTGACGGACTCTCATCAATATTTGATTCCTGTGGAATTTTGTCAATATTTTGTTCATTGTATTCTTTTTTGATAGCAAAAAAAGGATTTGGTTGTTTTTGCTCTCCATCGTCTTTACTTTTAGATATAACTTGATCAGACTGAATAGGAGGTAAACATCCTACCAAATTATCAATATCAATAGAATTATCTGTGTATATTTCATCTGCCTCAGACATACTTATACGTATAACTGTCCAATGGCCATTCAATTTTTTATCTTCATCAAAATGTTCTGATTCCATATGTTTGACTATGTTGTTATAATTAAGTTGAACATAATAACAAAAGGAACATAAATATCCAAAAACGTATTTACCCGGAATTKGATTTGGAAATATTAAATGTGAAATTCCGTCAGTTTTATCATATTCTGGGTGTTCTAAAATATGTTTATCCAAATCATCTTCATTTGAATAAATTTGTTCACACATCTTACATTTGTACCTATATTCTCCAGTATGACCAGTAATATGATCATAAAACTTAAAATAATCAAGAAAAATGAATTGACAAAAAACACAAGTATAGTTATTCTCTGATTGAAGACAAAATAGTTTTGAATCTTGAGAATTCAGATATCCAAAATTTTCTTTTAAAGATTGATGTATTAATGTTTCAGTACAATTTTTGGACAATCTGGATGGTAATACTTCTTCACCACAATGCTTATCTTTATAATGACGAACAATATTCAATCCTTTATCCTTGTAATTACAAAATTTACATTCCAAAGAATTATCAGCAGTTTGAAAATAAAATTTGTCCTTAAATTTATTTTCTGTGACAATTTTAGATGTTATTTCTGTAGATGTTTTATTTTTTAACACACTATTCAATTTCAATTCATCAAACAATACTACTTTCATTTGCTTACGATTAGACTTCTTAAATTTCTTGTTTCCCTTTTTCTTCTTTTTTAAACTATCTAGTTTCTTATTAGACATTTTATTTAAAACTGCACTTTTTACAACTACTGGTGATGAAGTTTCGTTTGCCACTGACTTTTTACCAATTTTTTTTTGTTGTGTGTTTAATTTAATTATAGTTTTTTTAACTTTCTTTTTTGTGTTTTTTGTTTTTCCTACACATTGAACAAACTCGTTTTGATCATCATTTGAATCTAATTGTTCAATATTAGACGTTTTCTTTTTCTTTGACATGAYTAAATTTGTATTTACATAATCAATTTGTTTATTGGTTCTACATTGCCGTATACTCGGAGCATTTAATACCGCATTACAGTCATACATTTCACTTATATCAGCATGAAGTTTATCTAATTCTGTTAGTCTAGCTTTTTTTAATTCTGGTTTATTGGCATTAAATGTTGATGTATTAGACTTCTGCACAGCTGGTTTATTAGAGTTGGTTTCATTATCAAACGGCTTAGGATTTTGAATAGGACGAATTAAAACAATTGGTTGTTCTACCATTATACTAGTTAAGGTTTCGGTATTTAATTTTCTACTTTTATCAAACCTATCAACAGAGTTTGATCCCTTATGAACTTTGTTAATTTCAAATTCAGGTTGATTTTTTAAGCCTTGTTCATTTTGGGAATTATTTTGTTCTATTTCCATTTTTTGTCTAGCTAATTTAACACTCAATGGACCTAAAAAAGGCTTCTTCGGTTTAATTTCTTGAGGTATTTCAACATTTTTTGGTTGATTATTGGTTTGTACATCGTCACTTGTACTTGAAATATCTGAATTACAGTTTTCACTTCTCCTAATATTTTTATCAAATTTAGCAATAACAATTTTTAAGTCTTTTAACTCAGGTTTGCATTTATCTTTTAGAATTTCAAAATTGCCATAGCTTTCTTTAGATTTTTTACGTTTGATAGATTTTAATTTATGTTGATCAGTTAAAGAACTAATGTTTTCTACGTTTAATTCATTTGATTGGCTAATTTTCTTTTTACTTATAACTATGTTTTCTGCTTGATTATAATTACTATCATCTGAAATGTCATTTGAAAATTCATCTTTACTTTCATCAATAGAAGATTCTTCACTAACATTCTTCATCAGTTTTCTCCGTTTTCTTTTTTCTTTTTTCATTTTTCTTTTTATCTTTTTATCTTTATCAATCTCAAGTTGTTGTTTATTTAATGTATCATTGTTTCTTAAATTATCATTGTTGGTATTGACATCTGAACTTTCTAATAATTTGTTAAGTTTTTCCATTTTATCTTTATCTTGAAATATACTCATCACAGACATAAACTTTGGATTTTTCAAAATGTCAATAATGGTTTTCTCATCAATCTTAGAAGTATTATCGGCAGTAGAATTAATTTCATTAGAAGAAACAATATTTTCTTCTTGACTTTTACATATAATTTCGGTTGTTGTAGAATTTACGACTCCTGATTGTTCCTTTGATGTAGATGATATAATATTATGTCCGATTTCAGTCTGTCCACTAACAACTTCTAAGTTAGGAATTGATACATTATCAAGGTTCTTACTACATTCACCAGATTCTGATTTATTATAATTTTTTGCTATAATGTCTTTTTCTAATTTTGGCTTTGAGTTGTTTACTTTTAAAGTTTTTGAGATTTCTTCTTTTTTCATCACGGAACTTCTTGTCCTTGTTCTAGGACCCCATACATCATCATCTAAACTCTTGGAGGCATTTCTAACAATTCTTTCAAATTCTTTTTCTTTGGAACATTTTTTTTGTTTCTTGGGCTTATTCTGGTCAGCAGGGTCTATTAAAATGGTATTTTGTTCAGATTTAGGATCAACTTCATCCTTGTCAACTTTACTTGAAATATTAGCAGTAATTTTTGGACGATCATCATCTTTTTCTGATTCAGTATTCAATATATTTTTTTTAATTTTTAGATCTTTTTCTGTATTATAATTCGTGATTATTCCAATTTCTAGGTCTTTATCTACATTGCTATCATTAATTTTATCAGTTATTTTGGAATCTCTTTTTGATGTTTTATTTTTTTTTATTTCAGATTTCTGACCATCTACTAAATTTTGACCTCTTAATGTATCAGCTTTCAAGTGTATTTTGGAATTCTTCTCAGTTCTTAAAACATCTATATTATTTTTACTATCAGCCCAAAATGTTTTGAGTTTAGAGTCCTCTTCTGTACTATTATCATTATGTTCTTCATTATATTTAATTTTGGGGATCTTGAAATTTTTAATATTAGCTGTTTCATTTACAGTTCCAAAAGTATTATAAGAAGAATTAATGATGTTATTTCTTTCAATTTTCTCATTGACTAGGCTACGATGTTGATCTTGATCCTGGTTCATATTGTTTTTATTTTTTTCTCTGGAYTTGGCTTCTCTATATTCTTTATAATTAGAATGTTGAATTGTTTTAAAATTTTTCAATATTCTTGGATCTCTCTTCGATACATCATTACTGTGAGATTTATATGGTATTGGATCACAATATTTTGTCAATGGCTCAGTATGGGATGGATTAACATGCATTTTGGTAGAATCACTGAATTGACTATAATCATTTCTTCTATCATCATTACCATGATAATGTTTGTTTTGATTTTGAGACAATGGTCTGTTTATAAATTGAATAGAGTTACCATTATGTTCTGAAGAATATTGTGGATTTAATTGTTGAATAATTGTATGACTTGCTGAACTTTGACCACTATATACAGATATTTCCTGTGCTCTGGTCTCAAACAATTTAGCATATGAATTGTCTCTGTTTGGAGCGAAAGGAGTTGGAATATTAGTTGAAAAACCATATTGAACATTTGATGATACTGATGCAGGTACTGCATTAAATGGACTAACATTGCTTTCAGAACATAATAAAGATTTACGTCTTATTCTTGGATCACGAGGGACAGTTATGTCAGCAACGGATGTTTTAATTTCAGTGTTTTTCTCGTTTGATTTAATGATTGGTCTAAGAGACTCTATATGCAAAGAAGAGCGAACTACTTTTGAATTTTCGAGATCAATTAAAGTACCTGGTTTTAACACAGATATTATCTTTTGTTTAGTTTCATTTGATGAACCTGTTTTACGCATTTGATTTACTTCGGTGTTCAACTGCGTATGAATAGTAGATTTATTTAATGATGCATCATCATGAGTTAATTCACTGGAATTTGGCTCAGTAGTTGATATTAAATTTATTCTCGATGCTCCTAAATCCATAAGATCAGATGGGGGTAATGGCGGTGGCTGAACTGGTTCCACGCAACTAGCTTTTTTAATACCGTCTATTACCTTTTTAACATAGTTAACATCAATATCATCCATGTTAATACCTTTTAACATATTTTTATAAATAATTGGACCATTTTTTTGTTTGTTCATTTCATCAAAAATCTGTGTAGTAAGGTCGGTATGAGAAATAGATGCATCAGACTTATTAAGCTTTTCAATAGAAGCATTGGTCGCAAAACCAATTAATTTATTAAGCCTTAGACGACTGTCCGAGAACTCTGGTAAATCATTCTTTGCAAGCATAGAATCATTCATTGAATTTTTGCTACAAGATGGCTTGCCAGTTTCATCAACATTTTCAAAGTTTTTATTTATAGTATTCTCATTATTTGGTGCCATATCTTTGAGACAATCCATTTGATTGCTAACTATTTTTTCATGACTAGTACTTGGAATTGATAATTCATCAGATTGTTCAGGCTCACCATTTAGGTTTTGATTACTTTCGTTAGATGTACAACTTACTTCTGAGGATCTATAAAGAAAATAATTCAATAAAAAAAAATAATAAATAATTTCTTATTTTTATGAAAAATTTTGAAATGTATTTAGATACGGATAAATAAATAATGATACATAAATAATAGACAACTTACACATTATTTTCTTCGTCATTTAATTGTGTTTCTTGCATCCAACTAGTTTTAAAATCTGGAGGCAAATACTGTGAAAGTTAAAATATAAACATTATAACTAGAGTATGTTAAATGTCACAATCGTTTTAAATAGTAAATATATTCAAGATATTTTAATTATATAAAAAATTAAAATGTAATAATGAAGATCTACAATTCTAAAGCATAATTTGACCTTTATTTAAACAAATAAATAATTATATATTATAAAAAAAATCATTAATACTAAATTATGACATATAATAGAACACTTACGTAATTTAATGGATTACTGTAGTTATCGTATAAATCATAAAATACTTTTTTACAAGTTTTTAGACGATCTGGTGACAACCTAAGAAAAAAATATACATATAAATACAAACAAAATTGCATGTTGGGAAAATAGTGAATATTTAACGGATATTGTAGCAACTAATAGTAATATTCAATTAATTGTTATAATTCTTAACTTTAAAAGATTTAATGATAAATAAGTAGGTACAAAAAAAAAAAAACAAGTACATGACAAACAAATAATAATATATTACGATTGATCAAAATATTAAATACATTTTGCTTGTAAAACAATAATAAAACATTCTAACATAGTGATTTAATTAACATGTATTTTTTAAATTTTTTTTGACGTGCCTAAAAATAATTTTCAAGAATCCTTCAAAATATTTGCATGATATAAATAATTCCACTATTATTTAGAAGACTGTAGGTATATAAACTTAAATAAAATAACTTCTAATTAGTTGGAAACAAAAGAACTTCCCAATTGAACATACTATCAATATAATGAAGAAGTATATAGTTTAGGTCAACTAAATAAATATTAACTCAATATAATAATTATATAAACACAACTCAATTTTAAATATTTGTTCTTTCATGCGTAGAACTTAAGACTGTTTATTTTGCATATAATATCATACAAATATTACTCAACATTTCAAAAAATAATTAGGTATAGGACATAAGTAGGGACCCCAACAATTAAGAATAAAAATAAAATAAATGTTTCATACAAACGGGTATTTCAAAGATGTATTCATACATAACGTGTTTTAAGTACCTAAGCTACACATTACATGTATATTAAGTTAAATTGATTTTGGACTACACTCTTCAAATATAACACTAGCAACTATAGCCTAATAATATTAAAAACAGTAAAATATGTAAGTACTTGATACTTTTTTAACAAAATTACACTAATAAATAAAGGCCAACCTAATGAACTAGTACAAAATGCAGGGGTTTTTTAGTAAAAAAAATGTGCAAATAGTAGATAGGTAATGTATGAAGTTAACTTCAAATAGTGACTATTAAGGGTGCAATTCAAAAATAGTATTTACCATAAATCACAAGATAAATCCAAACCCATAAATAATCTGAAAAACCATAATACATTTTATCTAGGAAACATAGAAAACGTATGAAATGTAAATAAAATATTAAGTATGCTTCAAAAACATATTAAGATGTTAATTAATTTAGGAAGTAGATATACACATATAATTAATAAATTACAAATCATTAATTTGAATTTTTTTTTAAGTACCATAATCTGTAATAATATATTCTCAAAAGATAATCATTATCAACCACATTATAAACCTTATGTATATATATATATATATATTAGCTTCCTTTACATTTTAGGATAAGATAAATACTTTGAGATAAATTTAAAACAAATGAAAGATTATTTTTTCCTTAATTTCTGTTGAAATAATATCTGTATAAACATGAGAGATACTCATTTGATTAGCAAATTCAAAATTGTACAAAATAAATACAACACGGATGTTACCATACAAGTGTTGGACATTTGGCAACACAGTATGAACAACAATGCTAAATTAAAATCTTTTATTTTTAAATTTTTTTAATCAGTTGACTTATTTTTACTGCATTTTAAGTCTCCCGAAGACCTATATTTGATGTGTCCACCTAACCTACAAGAAAGCAACGAGTCATGATACACCATATATTACAATGTTTAAATTTAGAACAGAAAACCTACACATGGATGAGAACAACAATTAAAACAACAATATAAAAACAATTATTATAATATTATATAGGGTTAAGGTAAGACGCAAACCTTTTGGCGTCCACCAGTTCGTACAAATACCGCAACTTGGACACACGATCGGGTAAGATGTCTAATAGTTCGCTGCTGTTAATAACTTGAGTGAGAAACGGCAAGAAAGACTGGAGGTGCGTCAGCAGTTTGTCGTAGTAATGTTTGTCTTCTGTAGACAAATTATACAAGGAGAGGTTATGGTATGGTTAGGTTAGGTTAGGACGACAAAGAATGCAACGTACCTTCGGGAGCGGGGCCGTCATTCCGAGAGAGTTGGTTAACATCCCGAGACGGGTCGTCGGCGTCACCCATGACTTCGATAAAATAAAAATATGCCCGTTACTTATGACGAAAAGTAGACGGACGCAGGTACTCGCACAACCACGGTCCGGTAACAAATGAACTCACCAAACGAGAAAACAACAAAGATGGCGGTTATTCTAGAGGAATGTGGTGGGGAGGGACGCGAGCGACTACAGGTGAACCACCGAAAAATCTGGTTCGGGCGGTACGGCGATGGTACTCGTACCACCGTGCCGTCATGTGGTCACTATTATCGTCAGGGCCGGAGGAAAAACGCGCCAACGATCACATTATATCCACGACATAGTGTTCGACGACAATCCGCGTGGGCAAACCGAGTTATCAGCCCGCGAGCTATGATCGACGGGACAATAGAAAATCCAGCGGTTTACGCGAACGGGGAAAGTGTTCTGCAACAGTCGTGCACGCAGTCCGGATACATGCACCGAGCGTAGCGACGACAGTCAGGGACGAAATAAACGTACGGCAAAACACTCGAACGACATTATTGATGCGAAAAACAACTCACTGCGGCCTGTGGTCGTGAACTCGTGTGTAGCGCTGTGTGGCGCGTAACTTCGTGCTGCATGCGAACGCCGGACGAGACTACGGACGTACGGWCTACGATTGACCCGTTGATGGTGCGCGGGGCGCGGTGTGGTGCCTGTCGCGGCGCGCCGTACAAACGCAGCGCTTCAATGCCGTTTTGCTTCAGGTGGGTGGTGACGGGGGGGAGGGGAGTATTGCACTATCGCGTTAGTCGGCACGTCATCGGTGGCAGTCCTCCGAATTCGTTCGACGCGTCGCGACGTTCTTGCGGTTAATGCAGTAATAATATTATGCTGTATTAACATTTATTTCAGTCGCTGAAAGCGTCGCGTTTCGAGGTTTCGTTCAGACTGTCGTGGTTATCGTCCGATCGCGTTGGGCGCCTTTGTCACGGCGTCATTTCCCGCGTCTTTTCTACAGTGCTGTCGGCGACGCGATAACGAAAACGCACGGCGGCGACTCAAAGATCCATTTCAAGGGTTACTGCTGCAGCTGTATCGATACAATATCATCGCTTCTTGTTTACAAGATCGCGATTAGCATGGTCACGTTGCCACCCGGTTTCCGGTTGCTGTTTTTTTCTTTTTTTTTTTTTAGCTCTCCTGCGACAACACTGACGAATGACGATTTTGTTTTCGTGTTCTACAGTTGTAGTTTTACACACATTGTGCAATAAATGAATAAACGTTACCAATGTTATTGTACACAATATTTTGTTTTTATTATAACAAATCATAATCGCCATTAACCTTTCATTGTTTTCCAGACGACGAAACCGATCACATCGTTCATTACACGATTAATCATTGTTGAGTCATTGAAAAATCGGTTGTTTTTTGTTGTACGTTTCGCTGGTCGCTATTATACGGCCTACGTTTGAGAAATGACTATAGCACGGGCACGTGTAAACAACGGATGCGAGTCGGTTCTTCCATGATTAACAATTCGCCGACAAACGGTGGTGTTTKCTGGGCACCGGACGACTTCGATACCGTTTGAGGACGTGGCCCGTCACGACAACCAACTACGTGTACGCCCGCATTAATGGGGCGGCAACAAGCGGCGTTCCTTTCTACGACGACCGCCGATCGTTCAATATTATTCCGACGAGACGTAATTCGCGACAACGGCAACACTAATGATGATGATAATAATGTTATGCGATGTAATCCACCGGAAATAACAAATCGTACGTTATTCGCGAACCTGTTCRATACGACGCTGCTACTGTTATTACCCGGCCTGTGATAAAATCGTTTGTTTTGAACAAAAGTCTAAAATTATATTTTATCCCGGTCATAACGTTATTGTAATGGGTCTCGATATTTAATACGGCGACCATGRAATAAGAACACGACTGCAGTACGTAACTGCAGAAGCAACTAAAACTGTACCGATATTCATTATAATATGACAATATTAATCATGTATCATAATTTTTTTTACGATATTATTAGTAGGTGCTGTTGTAATGATGGTCACTCTTTCAAGGAAGAAATCCCAAATCCGAGTGTARCCACAGATAAGATTTTGAGTTAATCACGGATTTCAACGTATCTTGAGACTAATTATCTTGTAATTAAAACTAACGCGGTCACGAGTTGACGCGCAATAGCATTACGTCACTAAAAACGTATAGTTACTGTGTGGCATAGTTTTAATTTTTTTTTCACTTTTTCCAACTTCGTATATGGCGAAGTAGGCAATTTTTTATTTTTAAGTTTAGCGCCTTAAGAACAACTTGATTTGCTTAGTGTATCCGTATATTGTAGTTCAACTGCATGTTAAGCTTGCCTCTGTAATGATTTCTCAGTGGAAATGATGACCGAATAAAATTCCATACGATGTTTGTCAATAAATATTAAAATCAAATTGTTTACATGTTACAAAATATCAATAATATATTAGTTTGATATTATACTGTGTGTTCAACGATAAAGGTGACAAAAGAAAATTCGTTTTTACTCTTTTCAGAAAATGTCTACGCATCCGCAACAAAACAAACAATGTTGAATCGTTAAAAATGCAATAGGTCATATTACCATGTTTTATAATATTACAGAATAGTAGAAAACAATCATTCCTGTTTTACGTCTTCTTTTGAGTACTAATGACACGTTAGTTTTTGGTGTAGAATCAAATACAGTTGTATAGCAAATTATACGTAGATATTCACTCCATTTTTTTAAAGTCATAATTATTATTTAAGAAGACGCTACACTCACAGATGTAAAATATAGCATAAACTATTTTGCAACGAGAAATAATTGATAAGACTACAATCATAACTAAGAAACACAATGTTCACCACATAATAGTGAAATATCGTTTTTATTATTTCGATATCGAAACTACATAAAAGATATTCTAGTTTGAAAAACGCACAAATAATAATGGATCTTGAAACTTGTTTCGTATAAATGATATCAAAAAAATGAACGATATTTCACAGATAATGTGCTCAACTTAATTGTAAGTCAATTYGGAGACTTGACTATTACTACTGCGCTATAGTGATTGTATCCATTGCACAGTAGTTTTGCCATGTTGTACATAATATTATTAAAGACGGAGACAACACATGCGGGCGAGCGGGCGTTCATTTGTATTTTAAAATATCAAAGAACTATTTGTAACGGAAAAAAAAATACTTGTTAGTGAAGAATATCGACATGACAAACCCTCGGCAAATATGTTATTCACTATGATTTTGCTCTGAGGTGTTACTGAAAAAAAAATATATACAATGAACATACCTGTCACGTGTAAGTCCGAGAGAGGAGACAGATATTGCTCTGATATCCTTTGTTTAATTCCATTTCTCATAGAGTTTTTCGGAGATGTAAATAAATGAATGTATGTAACCTGCGACCACTGTTCTATGTGCAGCGACTGTTACTACCAAAAGCAGTGCTACCCTTAAATCATGTACCATGGGAAATATGGAAGTGGTAATGCTGAATTGTGTTATTTGTGTAAAATATATTTCCCACCAAGATCACATTTCATGGTTACACGACACAATTGGTATAGACGTGCTCAGAATCAGTTATCAGGAATAAGTACTCGTTATCAGTTGTCGAAAACCACCAGCTGATTCCGGGCACGCGCTTTTGTGACGCGAACCGTAACATTTTGAAAATAGTGTAGATAATTTCACACCATATTAGGGCCTAGAGCAACTTTGTACCTGTAAATATAATTATAATTTTCGTGGTTGGACATAATTTTAATCGGTTAAGCACGATGTACAGTAGCCAACAAGTGATAGCATTTCACAAAAAACAGCCAGCTTTAAAGGTATACTTATC